TGCTGCTTGGCCTGCTGTGTTCATCCAGCCCTGCACCTTGTTGTCTCGGATTCTCCAGCATCTGCAGTTCCTACTATCTCTGATCACGACCAATCTCTTTTGTTAGTGACATCGGTTGAGGGGTAAATGTTGGTGATGACCCCTGGGGAGGTCTCCATTGCTATTCTTCCCAATAGAGACCTTTAATGTCTTTTTGAGAGAGCAGTCAGTGCTGTGGCCTGACCTGAAAGATAACATCGCAGCACCTAATTGGCTCTGCAGATCCTTTTGAGTGATTCTATAACTTCAGGGCCAATGTGGCTCTCCTAAACCCAGCCTGGGAGATCACAGTCATTGTGGTCATCACCTCTCGATAACCTGCAGCTTTCATGGAACCACAGAGTGGAAATGGTTCTGAGCAACTTTGAAAAGGAACACAATCTGTTCCCGTGGAAGCGGTGACTCACAGTGACCTACAGGATGGTTCTAGTTCTCACTGTGATGTGTAGCCATTCTCAAAGTGTGATAATGGGTATTTTGGATTAAAGCCTATCCCAGAGAGAACAGGGGCAGAATGGTTAAATTACTGCGCTCATAAGGCAAAGGCCTAACCTAATGATGGAGGAATATGAGTTCACATCCCACCAGGGGACATTTAGATGCCTTTAACAAATAAATGTGGAATTGGATCAGTAGTGGTGACCATGTAACAATGGAGTTATTACCAAAGTCCCCTCTGGTTAAATGATGCCATTTCAAGGGAGGAGACCTGACCAACATGTAATAACAACGTGGTTAACTCTTAACTACCCTTTAAAATGGCCGAATGTGCCACTCCTTGAAGGGCAATCGGCAGATAGTGAAATTTGAATAGGATAAAGTCTGTATGTTAAATGGTCAGGAGGGCACTCGTCTGGGAGTCCTTAACCTTGACTCCTGACCCCGTGAAGTCTCATTAAAGTCTCCCCTCCATTAAACATGGGCAAGGAAACCTCCTGCTGATTACCACATACCGTCCTCCCTCAGCTGATGAATCAATACTCCTCAATGTTGAACAACACTTGGAGGAAGCACTGAGGATGGCAAGGGCACAGAATGTACTCTGGGTGGGGGATTTCAATGTCCACCACCAAGAGTGGCTCGGCAGCAGCACTACTGATTGAGCTGGTCGGGCCCTAAAGGACACAGCTGCTAGACTGGGTCTGCAGCAGGTGGTGAGGGAACCAACAAAGAATTTGACCTCATCCACACCACAGATACATCTGTTCATGACATTAAGAATGAAGGGTCATCTCTGCATTGAGTAAATCCTCCATCGCGTAGTGTGATAATGAACACCATGCTAAACAGGACAGGCCTTGAACACATCTGGCACCTCAGGCGGCCCATCCCTAATTGCCCAGAGAGTAGTTAAGAATCAACCACATTGTTACGGTTCTGGAGTCACGTGTAGGCCAGACCAGGTAAGGACGACAGTTTCCTTCCTAACAATCGACAACGATTATGTCATCATCAATCATTAATTCCACATTTTTTTAATTGAATTCAAATTCCACCATTTACCGTGGCAGGATTCGAACCCAGGTCCCTGAACATTACCTGAGCCTCTGGATTAATAGTCTAGCGATAATAACACTAGGCAATCACCTCCCCTGGGCGAACCATCTCAGCCTCCTTTTGAGGTCCCCAGCATCTCAGATGCCTGTCTTTAACCAATTTGATGCTCTCCATGTGATACCAAGCAATTACTGAAGGTATTAGATATTGCAAAGGGCTTGTCTATTGCACAGTCCTTCTGCATGAAAGTGGGCTATAGTTGTAGCTTCACCAGGTTGACAATATTCTGGCAATAGTGCTGAAGTCTTGCTCTCCAGAACTAGTTGTGCCCCTAGCCAAGTTATTCCAGTGCAGTCACAATAACTCTCCTGGCATATACTGGACAATGTGAAATGTTGGTGAAAGTCCCTGTGCATAAAAAGCAGGATAAATCCAACCTGGCTAATTACTACCCTGCCAATCCACTCTCGATCATCAGTAAAGTGATGGAAGGTGTCAACAACAGCGCTATCACACAGCACCTGCTCAGTAATAACCTGCTCAGTGACGTCCAGCAAAAACAGAAAGAACTGCGGAAGCTGTAAATCAGAAACAAAAACAGAAATTGGTGGAAAAGCTCAGCAGGTCTGGCAGCATCTGTGAAGAAAAATCAGTGTTAACGTTTCAGGTTAACGTTCTGAGGAAGGGTCACTGGACCCAAACCATTAACTCTGATTTTTCTTCACAGATGCTGCCAGACCTGCTGAGCTTTTCCAGCACCTTCTGCTTTTGTCAGCGATGCCCAGTTTGTGTCCCGCCAGGGCCACTCAGCTCCTGACCTCATTACAGCCTTGGCTCAAACATGGACAGAAGAGCTGAATTCCAGAGGTGAGGTGAGAGTGACAGCCCTCAACATCAAGGCATCAGGAGTGTAATATCGAGGAGTCCTACTAAAACTGGATTCAGCAAGATCTGGGCAATATTCAGGACTAACAAGTGGCAAGTAACATTTGAGCCACACAAACACCAGGCAATGACCATCTCCACCAAGGAAAAACTAATCATCACCCTTACACATTGACTAGCATCCCCATCACTGAATCCCCCAGTATCAACACTTGGTGAGTTACCATCGACTAAAAGCTGAATGGGACGAGCCATACAAATATTGTTGCTACAAGAGCAGGTCAGAGGCTTGGAATACTGCAGCAGATATCTCATCTCCCGACTCCCCAAAGCCTGTCCACTATCTACAAGGCACAAGTCACGAGTGTGATGGAATACTCCCCACTTGCCTGGATGGGTGCAGCCCCAACAACACTCAAGAAGCTTGACACCATCCAGGCCAAAGCAGCCCACTTGATTGGCACCACATCCACAAGCATCCGCTCCCTCCATCACCGACGCTCAGTAGCAGCAGTGTGTACCATCTACAAGATGCACTGCAGCAATTCACCAAAGATCCTCAGACAGCACCTTGCAAACCCTCGACCACTTCCATCTAGAAGGACAAGGGCAGCAGATACATGGGAACACCACCCCCTGCAAGTTCCCCTCCGAGCCACTCACCATCCTGACTTGGAGATATATTGCCATTCTTTTCGTGTAACTGGGTCAAAATCCTGGAATTCCCTCCCTAATGGCATTGTGAGTCAGTTCACAGCACAAGGACTGCAGAGGTTCAAGAAGGCAGCTCACCACCACCTTCTCAAGGGACAATGGGCCTTGCCCACAGCATCCCTTCTCATGCTGTGTGCTGTCTGTTTGTTCCGGTGGTTGGTACCTCTCAATTATTTTACCTGGATGTGCGCATTTGTTTTGATTAGAAAGTTGATCTGTGAGCAGCCTGCACTGAAACCCCTCCATTATTACCATGACAGGTTAGTGATGCTCACATCCTGGAGTGAAATTTACCAGGAGCAGTTTACAGAACGTTTTACACATTCCTGTCCCTTCATTTCTTAGCAACATATTTTTCCCACAAGTGCATTCCTGCGTTAAGAATAGAATAATAATAAAGCTGGGAGATTAAACTGTGAGCACAAATATTCCACAATTAACTCTGTTGGTAAAAGAGAATTGGATTTCAGGAGACGGTTTAAAACATGAGCAACTTCAGGGATCGATTACATCTGCCTGTGCTGGATTGGTCACACCTGCCTTTGGAAATCCATTAAGGATTACTCAGATGGTTGTCACTGTTGTGATCTTGAGGAATCGGTTAGGAAGGGAGGACCTCTCTAGTGACATTTTGAGGATGATATACCCAGGCTGTCTCACTGGGATGTGTCCCTGCCTTTTGTCAGGCCCCGTTCTCTTACAGGTCTCAGCTCCCTTGCATTCACCTCATAGTTTAGTTTCGTCTTTCAGTTTGACGGCTTGCTGGACCACATCTGGCCTGAAAGTGTTCTCTGCCCTGTCAGAAAAGTAACTGTTATCCCAGTGGACAAATGGCCACAACTGTGTTGGGCTGGATCCCTGCCCTCTCCCTGCACCGAGATGGATTGGCCTGAGGTGGGGGTGCGGAGGGGGTGGGGGGTGGTTTGGAGATGGGGAGGTTGCAGTCACCATTCAGATCAGTTTCACTTCTAATGGTGGCCTCACACCCTCTGCCTGCCGCTCACCGTAGGAATGGATCCTGCTCGGTCTGCTCCTGCCTTCAATGGCTTTATCGTTGGATGGTTTATGGGGAGAGGTTACCCTCCAGCCCTGAGTGTGAATGTATACGCTCAGGTTTAGGAGTAGAAGTAGGTCATTCAGCCCCTCGAGTATACCCTGTTATTCAGTTTGATCAATAAAGTGAGGCGGAACGGTGCAGGAGCAGAGGGGCTTGGGGGTATATGTGCACAGATTGTTGAAGGTTCCACGATGGACAGAGAACAATCCATATTTTTATTCTCTTGTGGGATGCAGGTGTTGCTACCTGGCCAGTATTTATTGCCCTTCCCTAATTGCCCTACTAAATAAAGCGTACAGTGTCCTCGGTGAATAGGGGCACAGAGCCAGGAGGCGATGTTGGACGTCAATAAGACACTTGTCAGACCTCAGATGGAGTATCGAGTAGAGTTATGGGCACCACATTACAGGAAATATGCAATAGTGTGCATAAATGATTTACAAGAATGGTTCCAGGAATGAGAAACTTCATTGCCTTTGCTTTATCTCCCCCGAAAACTATATTCAAATTTGTGAGTTTTCCTTTGATGCATTGAGTTTTGTTGCAGTCCTCTTCAGGGGCTGCCAATTCTAATATGGTTCAATTTGTTTTAATTTGCCAATTGCTTTATGTATTAAAATAGTAAACACTTGGTTGAAGAGGAGTTAGAGATGGGCAGCAAGTGCTGGCTTTGTTGATGTCACCCAAATCCCATGAAAGATTGAAAACAAAATGGGCGGTGTCTTTTACCTCGCCTGCTTCCACTCTACAAATCCTACTCGGGTATGGGCTTGTTGATGGCTATTGCCCTTCCAACACAAGGAGCTGCCCACTACCCCTTATTGGATGGTGAGTTCATCCTCTGCACATTAATGCACCATTCGGAGAGAAACTACACCGAGCGTGTGATATTGAAAGATGTGATTTCACGGTGAGCTGGCCTGATTTAGTGACATGCTTCACTTTGTAGCTCGTGAGGAAGAAACAACAGCCGGCAAATATGAACAAAACATCGCAAAATTACACAGCGCACCACTGCTGTGCACCCCACACTTACCCACCATTCCTCTCAGTGAGAGATAGTAGGAACTGCAGATGCTGGAGAATCCGAGACAACAAGGTGCAGGGCTGGATGAACACAGCAGGCCAAGCAGCATCATAGGAGCAGAAAGGCTGACGTTTCGGGCCTAGACCCTTCATCACACACCCACCCTCCTGTCATTGATCCATTCTCCAGCTGCGCAGCCAACTGGAAAGGAGCTGATTACCCAATGGAATCAATGCTAAGACTTATTGGATGAGACATTGTTCCTGATGACCAATATTTTCAGAATGAAATTTGTGTTAAGAGGAATGACAAAAAAAAATGCATTTGATTTAATTCCCCTACAATTTTTCTCGTAGTATTTCTTCAACAGTTGGACATCAAGATTGGCAACATTCAGTTGACATATAGAAACGATCAGATTGGTGATGATGTTGGTTTTAGTGGGTTGGAAGTGTTTAATGGGGGAAAATGTGACACTGGCAGGAAGAGGCATCTGTTTGCAAAACCTTAGAGATTGCTAAAAGTGATCTGCCCCCTTTGCAGGAAGGGAAAGGGGATTTTCAGGCAGACCCTGACAAACTCCCCATGGTGCAAAGCGAGATGGTCATCTCTCTGATTTTACTAATTGTTACTCCCTCTCCTCCACATTAATGAAGGCAAAACATTGAAATCTCTGCTGTTTGCCAGTACACCCTTGCCAGCATACGGAAGGCATTTGAAGGGCGGTATAAGGAAGATCAGGAATCACCGCGCTGGTGGTCAAGGTACATGGGGAAACCTCCAGAGCCTCGCCCAGGATCGGTAAGACTCTTCAATATTGTGAAAGTACCATCGATTCGTCTTTCTTTCCCCACAGACTGACAGGTTGAAAACAGAGGCTCAGATATAAGATATAGGAGCAGACATGGGCCATTCAGCCATCTTGTCTGTTCTGACATTCAATGAGATCATGGCAGATCTGATAATCCTCAACTCCACTTTTGTGCCTTTTCCCCCATAACCCTCGATTCCCTTCCTGATTTTTTTAATGAACAGAGTTAATGACTTAGCCTCAACAGTTCCACGTGGTAAAGAAATCTACAGGTCCGGTACCCTCTAAGAGAAGAAATTCCTCCTCATCGCTTTCTTAAAATGTGCAACCCATATTCTGGTCCTAAACTCTCCTACATGGGGGAAACAACCTCTCCACATCTACCCTGTCAAGTCCCATAAGATTTTTGTTTCTGTTTCAACAAGGCCACCTTTCATTCTTCTAAATTCCAATGAGCACAGGCCCAGTCTACTCGATCTCTCCTTATAAGACGGTCCCTCCCTACTCATTACCAGCCTAGTAAACCTTCTCTGGACTGCGTGCTCAGCAGTGTATTAAATCAGAGACCCAAAACTGTTCAGTATTCCAGCTGTGGCCTGATTTGTGACTTGTATAGTTTTAGCAAAGCTTGCCTACTTTTAAAGCCCATTCCCTTTGAAATAAAGGCTGACATTTCATGTGCTATCCCTATTACCTGCTGAACTTCGATGCTAGCATCTTGTGATTCATACATATAAACCAAATCCTCTGTTATGTGGCTTCCAGCAATCTTTCTCCATTTAAATAATATTCAGCTCCTCAATTCTTCCTGCCAAAATACATAGCCTCACATTTTCCCATGTTACAGTCGATCTGTCGTGTTTTGCTATCTCACTTAATCTGTGTATATCCCTCTGACAAGTCTTAGTGTCATCCCAGTCCAACACCGGCACCTCCACATCATTAACATATGTCGTCAATAATTGTGGCCCTCACACTGATCTCTGTGGTGTACCATGAGTTACAGGTTGTCATCCTAAAAGTGCCCGCTTTTTCCTAACTCTCTGTCTTCTACTGGTTAGCCATGTTAATATGCTGCCTCCAACAGCACAGGCTCTTATTAAGTGACCTAATGCGTGGTACCGTATCAAACATCTTCTGAAAATCCAAATACATTACATCCATTGTTTCCCCTTTATCTATCCTGTTTGTTACTTCCTCATAGAATTCTTGTAAATTTGTCAGGCGTTATTCCCCCTTCATGAAGCCATGGTGACTCTGCTTGACCATATTATGTATTTCTAAATGTTCTGCTATTACATCCTTTAGAATATGCTCTAACATTTTTCCAAATCATAGATATTAACCTGACTGCCTATAGTTACTTGTGTTTTTTTGTCTCCTTACCTTTCTAAATAAAGGTAGTATATTGACATTGGCTTGCATCAATCGATAGATATCTAGTGGAACCATCTCACCTTCTATTCCAACCTCTGGGTATGGCTCCCCAGCTCAAGAATCCTCCTCCATACATCCTCATCATGTCCTGTGTGATGCAAAGAGGGTAGATTTTGTACACTGCTGCTTCCAGTGATGGGATGAACAGAAACTGTTGACTCTTTATTGTCTGTTTTACCAGGAGGTTGGTTAGCTCAGTTGGCTGGATGCTTGGTTTGAGATCCAACAGCACAGGTTCAATTCCCACACTGGCTGAAGGATACTCCTTCTGAACCTCTCCCCTTGCCTGAGGCATGGTGACCCTCAGGTTAAACTCACCACCAGCCGTCTCTCTCTAAATGAGAGAGCAGCCCTGTGCTCCATATGGTGACTTTATCTATTTCTCGCCTGTTTTAGTCTATCGTACAAATTGAATTTTTGCTGGGATTAAAGACAGGAATGTGCCACATTCTATCCCAAGTGTGGGCTAAGGGATGCAAGTGATTTTAATATTCCTAGTTTGGAGAGGAATGTCAGCAAGGGGTTCACTTCCTGATCACCATCCAGCTCCTTCTACTGGGCAGGTTCAGATGTGGATATCCAATGAACAGAGTGTTGATCTTCATTGGGATTCCTGTCCTTCATCTCCCTCATTATTCCATTTACCTCCATCGGACTGGCCAAATGACTACTTGGAAAACAAAGTGTGTGCATGACCTGCATTTGTATAGTGCCTTTCATGACCACAGAACTGTCCTGTGCTCCACAGCCAAGGGGGTACATTTGAAGTGAACTCATTGCTGTAACCTAGGGCTCAGAACCAGTCAAAGAGCAGCTGACCGAAGTAAGATGCCGCGATTTATGAGTTGTCAGGGCCAGAGGGAGAGATAAAAGCTGTGAAATAATCTTGTTTCTGAGTCAGGATGTTCTGAGTTCAAGGCCTCCTCCAGAAATTTGAGTCCAAAATCCAGGCTGACACTCCAGTGCAGTTGTAAGGGGGGATCTGCACTGTCAAAGGTACAGTCTGTTTGAATGAGTCATTACACAAAGATACCATTGACATTCTTCACTGGGCCTTTACAATCCCATGTATTATCAGGATCAGGGGAGTCCTCCCCTGGTGTCCTGGCTAAATCAACATCACGAAAACCAATCACTCAGTCATTATCTCACTGGGATGTGTGTGCATGTGTGTGTGTGTGTGTGTGTGAGTGGGTATGTGTGTGCGTGTGTGTGTGAGCATGTGTGTTGTGCCTGTGTATGTGTGTGTGCATGTGTGTCTGTGTATGTGTGTGTGCATGTGTGTCTGTGTGTGTGCATGTGTCTGTGTGTGTGTGTGTGTGTGTGTGTGTGTCTGTGTCTGTGTGTATGTGTGCGTGTGTGTGCGCACGCGCGTGCGTGTGTGTGAGAGAGGGAGTGTGTGTGTGTGTGAGACAGTGTTTGTGTGTCTGAGTGTGTATGTGTGTGTCTGTGTGTGTGTCTGTCTCTGGGTGTGTGTCTATGTGTGTGTGTCTGTCTGTGTGTGTGTGTGTGTGAGTGTGTGTATGAGTGTGTGTGTGTGTCTATGTGTGTGTGTCTGTCTCTGGGTGTGTGCCTATGTGTGTGTGTGTGTGTCTGTGCATGTGTGTGTGTGTGTGTGTGAGTGTATGTGTGTCTGAGTGTATGTATGTGTGTGTTTGTGCGCGTGTATGTATGTGTGCATGTGTGAGTGAGTGTATGTGTGTGTGTGACTGAGTGTGTGTGTGTGACTGTGAGTGTGTGTGTGAGTGTGACTGTGTGTGTGTGTGACTGTGAGTGTGTGTGTGAGTGTGACTGTGTGTGTGTGTGTGTGTATGTGTGAGTCTGTGTGTGAGTTTGAGTGTGTGTGTGTGTGAGAGTGAGCGTGTGTGAGTGTGTGTGTGTGTTCGTGTGTGAGTGTGTGTGTGTGAGCGAGTGTGTGAGCGTGTGTGTGTGTGTGTGTGAGTGTGTGTGAGTGTGTGTGTGTGAGTGAGTGTGTGTGTGTGTGTGAGCGTGTGTGTGAGAGAGAGAGTGTGTGTGAGTGTGTGTGAGTGAGTGTGTGTGTCTGTGTGCCTGTGTGTGTCTGTGTGCCTGTGTGTCTGTGTGTCTGTAATGTGACTGATCTTGTCTCTTTCTTTAGTTAAGGGATGGCTACACAAGGTGGTGAACATTGGCTCCCACATCCACATCATTGAGGAGATCGAGCTCTATGAGGAACCCCAGCCTGTTGAAAGTCTAGTACTCGCCAGCACTCAGGTATGACTTCAACCCAAGTGAAGCTGTAAGTGAGTGTGTGCAGATTCTGCCATTAAAATGCATGGTTAGTCTTGGTGGGGGGGAAGTGAGAATTGTGCAGGTCCTGGAGCATCTGTGCTGTTAGCTGACCACCCAAGAGGTGAAATCCATGAGAAATTATTTACCCTCCCTTTCCTCTGTCATGGGGTACACAACATTCTCCTGATGCAGAAATACAACAAATTTTTTATTATCCAGCACCAATGGGACCTGGAGTGTGTTGGCTGATCAAGTATTCCGTTTGATTAAGAGGTCTACCTAATTAACGCAAAAATGCAGAGTTATAGAAACGTACTGCAGGAGATAAACACATCACTACTATACTTCATTCACAGCATAAGTCACTTAAATAGTAATGCAACTTTACCTTAAATAAAACTTACTGGCAGAGAGCCATGTCTTTCGCACTCTGCAATGACTACTCAAACATTGGGGAGATTGTAATAATGCCGTAAACTTCCAGTGTTTCAGGTACATAATTTTTTTGAGAGTTTATCAAGAGTGTTGGTTGTAAGGTGCTGGTTAAAACAAAGTTTGCTTGGTATATTAGATATTTGAACTTCTCAACTGTTAAAACAAAGTTTCTACAAGGACTGCAGGAGCAGTTTGTAATGGAAACATATTGCTATGTACTGGGATAACACAGGAACCATACTGGGATAACAAGGTGTAGAGCTGGATGAACACAGCAGGCCAAGCAACATCAGAGGAGCAGGAAAGCTGACGTTTCGGGTCGAGACCCTTCTTCAGAGTTGGGGGAGGGGAAGGGGGATTCTGAAATAAATAGGGAGAGAGGGGGAGACGGATAGAAGATGGATAAAGGAGAAGATAGGTGGAGAGGTGACAGACAGGTCAAAGAGGCGGGGTTGGAGCCAGTAAAGGTGAGTGTAGGTGGGGAGTTAGGGAGGGGATAGGTCGGTTCAAGGAGGATGGACAGGTCAAGGGGACAGGGATGCAGCCAGTAAAGGCTCACCCCCATCCCAGGCCCCAAGAAGACCTTCCACATCAAACAGATGTTCACCTGCACATCTGCTAATGTGGTATACTGTATCCGCTGTTCCCGTTGTGGCCTCCTCTACATCGGGGAAACCAAGCGGAGGCTTGGGGACCACATTGCGGAACACCTACGCTTGGTTCGCAACAAACGACTGCACTTCTCAGTCACGAACCATTTCACCTCTCCCTCCCGTTCCTTGGACGACATGCCCATCCTGGGCCTCCTGCAGTGCCACAACGATGCTACCCGAAAGTTGCAGGAACAGCACCTCGTATTCCGCTTGGGAACCCTGCAGCCCAATGGTATCAATGTGGACTTCACAAGCTTCAAAATCTCCCAACCCCCAACCACATCCCAACACCAGCCCAGCTCGTCCCCGCCTCCCTAATCATTCCTCCCACCTCAAGCCCCACTCCCATCTCCTACCTACTAACCTCATCCCGCCTCCTTGACCTGTCCGTCCTCCCTGGACTGACCTATCTCCTCCCTACCTCCCCACCTACACTCACCTTTACTGGCTCCAACCCCGCCTCTTTGACCTGTCTGTCTCCTCTCCACCTATCTTCTCCTTTATGCATCTTCTATCCGCCTCCCCCTCTCTCCCTATTTATTTCAGAACCCCCTTCCCCTCCCCCATTTCTGAAGAAGGGTCTCGACCCAAAACGTCAGCCTTCCTGCTCCTCTGATGCTGCTTGGCCTGCTGTGTTCATCCAGCTCTACACCGTGTTATCTCAGATTCTCCAGCATCGGCAGTTCCTACTATCTCTATTGCTATGTACTGGATTAGTTCAGCATCATCATCAGATTGAAGAGAGGGGTTGACAATGCTAGTTCCTCTCCTGCAAGCCTGGGAAATGTGGAAGTGAGTAGATATGTCCATCAAAGTGATGAGTGTCATTGAATACCACTGGGTCACAACTTGTCCTTCCAGTCGCATGACAAACAACAACATCTTCTAGTCGCAAACCACTTCAACTCTCCCCCACTCCCTGGGTGACATGTCCATCCTCGGCCTCCTCCAGTGTCACAATGACACCACCCGCAAATTGGAGGAGCAGCACCTCATATTCCGCCTTGGGAGCCTACAGCCCGATGGTCTAAATATCGAATTTATCAGTTTTAAAATCTCCCCACCCCCTACCCTTATCGCATGACCAACCCTCCCTCTCATCCCCACCTCCTTGACCTGACACAACCTGTCCATCTTTTCTCCCACGTAGCCGCTCCTCCCACCTCAATGACCAATCCCCACCACTCCCTACCTGCACTCACCTATCACCATCCCCCTACCTTCCCCGGCCTCACCCCTCCTCTCTATTTATTTCTGAGCCCCCTTCCCTCTCCCCCATTTCTGGAGAAGCGTCCCGACCCGAAACGTCAGCTTTCCTGCTCCTCTGATGCTGATTGGTCCTGCCATGTTCCTCTACCTCCACATTGTGTTATCTTTGGAAAACTTGTTCTTTTTATTCTTAACACTTTTTCCATCCAGTGACGCCATTTACACTTCTCACTGCCTCGGGAAAGCAGCCAACATCATTAAAGACCCCTCCCACCCAGATATACTCACTTCTAAACTTCCGTAGGCAGAGGATGCAAAACGTTTGAAAACAAATACCAACAGATTTAAGAACATCTTCTTCTCCGCTGTTATCAGACGTTTGAATGACCCTCTCGTATATTAGACTTGATCTTTCTCTGCACCTTTACTGTAGCTATAACACTATATTCTGCCTTCTGTTCTATTACCCTGGTGTACCTATGTAAGGTAAGATTTGCCTGGATAGCACACGAAACAATACTTTTCACTGTATCTAGATACATGTGACAATAATAAATAAAGTCAGTCTCACTTATACGCAACTCCAGACCCACATGTCGTCGACTCTTAAGATGCCCTCTGGCTAGTAAGCCCACAGTTTCCAGAGCAGCTCAGGACAGGCAATAATTAAAGACCAAAAAAATCTGCAGATGCTGGAATCCAAGGTAGACAAACAGGAGGCTGGAAGAACACAGCAGGCCAGGCAGCATCTGGAGGGAAGGAGCAGTCAACGTTTCGGGTAGAACTCTTCAGTCCTGAAGAAAGGTAATATCTGAAACATTGACTGCTCCTTTCCTCCAGATGGGCAGTAATGGCTGGCCTTGCTATTGATGCCCGAGCTGAGGGTTCCATAGGAAGGCATTTAGGTTTGGCTGAGTCAGCGCTGGCTGTTAAACGCTGAGCCTTGGGGGAACCCTATGGTCTTACTAAAGCAAAACACGAGTGATGCAAGAACAGGCACATCAGTGATAAGCCCAGAGACCCCAATGTTATTCAAACTTAGTCCGCAATTAAAAGGGAGAGAAAAAGTCAAACTGTTATTGCGGCCTGTTTATTATACACCTCAGCATTTTACGGCCTGATGGAGATTAATGTTAAATAGCACTCACCAGCAAAGCGCTCTGCATAGGTTGATAGCTTTTGTTTGATGGTGTGCCTCTTTTAATTACAGGGGATGCTGTATGTTGGATCACAGAGCAGTGTACTCCAGCTCGCTGTGGCTCAGTGCCACAAATATTCAACATGCTTCGATTGTGTCTTGGCTCGGGACCCTTACTGTGCTTGGGATGGCAGTGTTTGCCGGGAGATTCAGCTGGGCGAGAACAGGTACCACCATGGGTATCGGGGATAACCTTGTCTGATCCGTGTCAGACACATAATCCGCGGTGGGTTTTGGTCAGTCTTTTACATAACTGAGTGTGAAGTGAACCTGGCTTTTCTGCAGTGAGACATAGTGATCTGGAGTGCGAGATAACACAGTGTGGAGCTGGAGGAACACAGCAGGCCAGGCAGCATCAGAGGAGCAGGAAAGCTGACGTTTCAGGTCGGGACCCTTCTTCAACCATCTCTGAGTGATCTGGAGCGCGCTGCCTGAAAGGCTAGTGGAAGTAGATTCAGTGGGAACTGTCCAAAGGTCAGTTTTGTGAAAAGCTCAAAGAATGATGAAAGGTTGTCAGGAGGTATGCAGGAATGTAGCATTCAAACCAGATGAGCCAATGGCAGTGCAGACTCAAAGGGGCTGAGTGGCCTACACTTGTTCCTTGTTCGTACCTTTGTAGAAGAATTTGCAAGGCCACGTTGGAAAAGCAGAGGAGTGGGAATGATTGGAAAACCCTTCCAAAATCCTGGCACAACATCATGAGCCAAAAGGCCTCTTTCTGGACTGTATAACTCCATGAATGTTGAGATGTAGTGCATCCTTGAAAGGCGAGTAGCTAAAAGGGTGTTTTAAAGAACATTGTGAGTACTTTTAGTTCTCAGTTTAATTCAGGAAAATCCTACATGACTCAATCTTCCTCAGTACTGCAAGGGAAAACTCATATTGAGCATGGGACTGCTTTTCTTTAACGTTATTGTGAGTTTGAAACATTGTCAGAGCTGATCCAGTGTTCAACTGGGCAAAAGAATGCGATATATCAAAGGGAAGTGGAAATCTAATGAAACATTAGGTTGCTGTGAATTTTTTTGTACATTGCAGGGTCATGGGCCCTGCTGGCTGGACCAGCATTGTTTTACCCAATACTGGGATCACTCTCTGGGCAGTTCATGAGGAGTAAATTGTGGAACATTGACAGCTAAAGTGTTGATTTCAGAATTCTTCGTTTTGCAGTTCGTTGAAATCCTTTTGTGCTGTTTCTTTTTGATAGAACACAGGGCAGTGCAACACAGAAACAAGCCATTTGGCCCATCATGTCTGTACTGACTATGATGCCATTCTGAACTAATCCCATCTGCCTGCACATGGTCTGTATCCCTCTACTCTCTGCTTGTTCATGTGTCCATCTAAACACCTTTTAAACTTTGCTAATGTATCTGCTTCTACCACCTCCCCTGCCTCTGTATTCCAGTCACCTACCATCCTCTGTGTAAAAAACTTGTTTCACACATTTTTAAACTTAACCCCTTTTACCACAGCACTCAGAACAAAAGAATCCTTCTGCATCTGTGAAGGGAAAAACAGAGTTAACGTTTTGGGTCTGGTGACCCCTCCTCGGAACTGATTTCTGTTTTTCCCTTCACAGATGCTGCCAGACCTGCTGAGCTTCTCCGGCAACTTTGTTTTTGTTCCTGATTTACAGCATCCGCAGTTCTTTCGGTTTTTAAAAGAGTCCTTCTGTTGTTTTGTTTCCTGTTGACCGCTTTTGGTGACTAGTGTCATGCTTTTTGACTGTGACCTCGAAATACACTGGGGCTGAAACACATTAGGTTAGTACACACCAGCCAGAGTTCACTCACGCACTTTACCCCACTAACACACACACACCAGAGCTGCAATTGATTTTTGACCTTTTTTTGTACATTGCTGGGAGGGAGAAAGAAGAAAAGATGCCTCAGGTGTCTTTCTGCTGAAAGACGAGGGAGATAGTTAGCTCCCTGAATGTCTCTTCCTGTTACATCGCTCCCTATTGGAGGTTTCATTGACAGTCTACAGGCGTGACTTTCCCTGGATCCTATTCAGGGCTTTACTTGACAGCTTCAGGGTTCTTTTTTCTGTCTGTAGCAGTCTTCTTTTAAAAAGCATATTTTGTATCTACTACCTAACAATATCTGAGATACTTCAGGCTCCTGATCTATTGCCATGACAGGGCAATATGTTAAAATATCAAAGGAATCAACCATTGTGGCACCCAGCACAGGAAGAGGCTGCAGTGTATTTTATAATAATTTGTGAACAGTGCCTTGTTGATTTTACGACTAGAGAGTCCAGGAAAATTGTCTAACAAGAATTACTTGCATGGCAACCTCACTGCTGTCTTTGGCAAATGTTTGACACTTGTGACAACATTAAAAGTTATTACGTGGAAAGTTTCCAGCAGAGATTGGCCGAGCCGGTTTTTATGTTCCGTGCAAGCTACCCCCCACCCTACTTCATCCAATCCAATCCCCCTGTCCTTTTCGTCCTGTTTTCCCTCATGGACAGACCTCGCTTTCTCTTAAAGATAGCAAAAGTATTCACCTGAGCTGCTCACTTTCTAACTGTGAGCGTATTCCTTTAGCCTGTGGAGAACAGGCCTCAAATATGTTTTTGTTTTATTCAGTCACAGCGTGAGGGCATTGCTGCCTGGGTCAATGTTTATTGGCCATCTCTAGTTGCCCTGAAGTTGGTGATGATCTGCCTTCATGAACCGCTGTAGGTGGACACAATAGGGAGGGAATTCCAGGATTTTGACCCAGTGGCATTACCTTGTATCTTTTTGAGTTATTCAGGAGCCGTAGTTCTCACTTGCTATCTCTACAGTAATGCCTCAGCCAATCAGAGTAGAGCTGCCAACCAATCAGAACTCTTTGATCTTGCAGTGTAAATTGTTGTGAAAAGTTAAAATTTGGCATTCTTGCATTGGTCCTGATGACTACTGAATGAAAACCGTGGCAACACACCTCCTTTCAGCTGTGCTGTGCAGCTGAGTGATTGTGAGATTAAAAGTATAAAACAGACTCAGAGCTCCGGGAGCAGAGAGGCAGTGGCAAGGAAATTAGGAGCCAACAAAATGTAACTTGCTGTTTACGTAAACTATTTGGTGCCAAATCTAAATGTGATTGTGTGTCAGGAGAAGCTGATGGTGAACCATACCATGACCCTGCACTGTTTCATGGTCATCGATGTACCCTCAGGATATTCAGCCTGATGCATGAATATTGACAAGGCTAAATTGAGAGTCAGAGAGCGAGAGATACAAAAGGGATGGTGTTAAGACCATATCAACTGGAAGGTTTGAGTTATAAGGAGAGGTTGGGACTTTTTTCACTGGAGTGTTGGAGGCTTAGGGATAACCTTATAAAGGTTTACAAAATTGTGAGGGGCATAGATAAGGTTTTTTGTTTACTCATTCACAGGATGAGGGTGTCGCTGGCTAGGCAGCATTTATTGCCCATTCCTAATTGACCAGAGGGCAGTTAAGAGTCAACCACATTACTGTGGGTCTGGAGTCACATGTAGGCCAGACCAGGTAAGGATGGCAGCTTCCTTCCCTAAAGGACATTAGTGAACAGCCAAGACAACAAGGTGCAGGGCTGGATGAACACAGCTGCACCTTGTTGTCTCGGATTCTCCAGCATCTGCAGTTCCTACTATCAGTGAACAGCCAAGGTCTTTTTTCCCAGGGCAGGAGAGTCCAACTACAGGGCACAGGTTTAAGGTGAGAGGGGAAAGATTTAAAATGGGCCTGAGGAGCAAATTTTCCACACAGAGGGTGGCGTGTGTATGAAATGAGCTGCCAGAGGAAGTGTTGGAGGCGGGTACAATTACACCATTTAAAAGATATTTGCATAGGTACATGAATAGGAATGGTTTACAGGGATATGCGCCAAATGCAGGTAAATGGGACTAGTTCAGTTCAGGATAAGTTGAGCTGAGGGGTCTGTTTCCATGATACATGACTCCATGACTCTATAGCTTTAAGCTTAATTTATTTTGTATGTTGTATTTTAAGAAGGGAAGAGATGATTTTGGAGTTTTTTGTTTGTGAACTTGGTGAGCTTGTCACTGGGGACTCTGAACACCTGTTTATTTACATGCATTTTAATGAGGTTTCACACCCTTGAGCTGGGAGTTAACATTGCAGTGCATTAAAAAGAGTAGATAGTGGAAAATGAACTGAGCTGTTGCATATTGACAGGGGTCCAGTGATACAGGGAGATTAACAATCCAGGAAGAAAGTGAGACAGTCAGTGTCATTTGTGCGAGAGAGTGAGAAACTGATTTAAAGTTGAAGTTTAGCTTGTCATTTGCTTTAGTTGCTTTGGGAGAGTTAGCAGCTGAAGGAAGGTAATATTTAGTGAATGCATGAAGTTCACCCAGAGGGAACTGGTTACAATGTGTTAGCTTGAGCAAGAAACTTTACAATGGAGATAGCAGTGACTCATGAAAGCTTGGGTGTTTAGAGAATATTGTTAGGTTAAAAGGAGTAGTGTAAATTTGAACTTTGCTTGGTGTTTTTAATGAAATCTTTCCAAACATTTTGTCACATTGTTTTTTTATTCATTTGTGCAATGTGGGCTGGGCCCAGCATTTATTGCCCATCCCTTATTGACCTTCAGAAGGTGATGGTGAACTGCCTTCTTGAACTGTTGCATTCCACCTCCTGTGGTCTATTTTTTTCCTTCTTTCGTAAAGAGTTATTCTTTGCATTAAAAACAAACTGAAAGTTTCTTGTCAGTGTGTTAACAAAAGACAAGAGCTAGGAACTAACAAGCCAGAATTCACTCTGGAATGTGACTTGTCCGATATCAACATCAACTGGGATCATAATAACGGCAAGTTTGGAATTGCACCTGTTGGAATTGTCTATAAGAATGATTCTGACCTGGAATTGCTTGCTATTCCAGAAACCACTTTGCTCCCATGCTAATGTTTCTATTCCTGTACCTGTGACAGTGTTTCAATGAAGAACAACATAAGCTGGAAGTACCATACTTCATTTTCCACTTAAGCACCCGACAGCCTTGAGATCTTAACATTGGGTTCAAGTGGCTTTCATTTTAATTACAACCTTCCCCCCAACATTGCCACGCCTTGTTTGTGTTTTGGTGGCTTTGTCAGCACAGCCAACCCATTTGCTCGTTTTCACACCTTCATTCATACCTATTTAACATCTACATCACTCCTTTACCACTGTTAGCACTCCCTTTGTCTTGTGCTGGGGGCAGATCCTCTTCCCCTCTCTGTCTACAGCATAAAAAAGCCACTGCTTTCCAACCCCTTTCACTTTCTGAAGTAGGGTCACTGGACTCGAGACGTTAACTCTTGTTTCTTTCGCCACAGATGCTGCCAGATCTGCTGAGTTTCTCCAGCAGTTTCTGTTTTTATTTTGGAATTTTACATGTAGTGCTGTTTGTTAAAGATAAAACAACCCGCTGGGAGATAATACCGATATTATCAAGTTATTTAGACAGAGAGAGACAAGGGTTTTGATTAAAGTTGAGCAGTTGAGGCTAGGTTTGGGGAGAAGCCTTCAAACTTGGATTTGGCCTCTTCAGACATTAAATTAGGAAATAGTTCTGTTTGCAAAGAATAACAGACGTTTGGCACTCACTTTTTCAAACAGCAGATGATGCCAGATCCATTCTTAGTTTGAAAAGTGAGACAGAATTTGGGAAATGAGAAGTGTTAAGGTAGGATTTCCCAAAAGCGGAGTCAGTATCGGGGAAGTGAGCGGAGAATTGTGGGTCGTGAGAGCCGTGTGTGCTGTGGAATTCTGATGGGGTTCAGGCAGCTACACTCCCCCTCTCTCAGCCCCTACTCTCCTTCTCTCTGTTTTCTCTGAAGGGGCTGTGACAATTCTCAAACAGTGGGCAAAAGCTTAGGAAGCACTGCATTAAGGAGTAGACAACGGCCTAGTGGTGTTAATCTAGGAAACCCAGGTAATGTTGTGCAGGACCTGGATTCGAATCCTTGGTAGATGGTGGAATTTAAATTCTGTGATAATTTGGAGATAAGAATCTAGTGATAACTGTGAAACTATTATCAGGAGAAAAACCCATCTGGTTCACTAATGTCCTTTAGGGAAGGAAACTGCCATCCTTACCTGGTCTGGCCTACATGTGACTCCAGACCCACAGCAATGTGGTTGACTCTTAACTGCCTTCTGGTCAATTAGGAATGGGCAATAAATGCTGCTGAGCCTGTGATATCCTCATCCTGTACATAAATTTAAAAAGTGATAAGGAGTACAGGCATTATATTAGACATGACAGGGGCATAATTTTAAGGTGATTGGAGGAAGGTAGAACATAGAACAGTACAGCACAGTATAGGCCTTTCGGCCCACAATGTTGTGCCGAACCTTTACCCTAAACCTAAGGTCTATGTAACCTCCACCCCTACCTTATACTATCATCCATATACCTATCTAATAGCCGCTTAAATGCCCCTAATGAGGCCGACTCCACTACCCTCTCCGACAATGCATTCCACGCCCCGACCACTCTCTGAGTAAAGAACCTACCTCTGACATCTCCCCTATATCTACCTCCACTCACTTTAAAACTATGCCCCCTCGTAATAGCTACCTCCACCCTAGGAAATTAAAACTATGCCCCCTCGTAATAGCTACCTCCACCCTAGGAAAAAAATCTCTGGCTGTCTATCTATACCTCTGATTATTTTGTATACCTCTATCAAGTAAAAATCATAAAGGTGTAGGGGAGATGTCAGAGGTAGGTTCTTCATACAGAGACCAGTGGGTGTGTGGAATGAGCTGCCAGCAGTGGTAGTGGAGTCAGATACATTAGGGACATTTAAGCGACTCTTGGATAGGCACGTGGATGATAGTAAAATCTAGGGTGAGCAGAGTAGTTTGATCTTAGAGTAGGATAATAGGTCGGCACAACATCGTGTGCTGTACTGTTCTATGTTCTATGTTTCCATTGAATGCTGCAGAACAGGCTTGCTCTGCTAGAGGACCTCTGCTTGTTACTGTGTGTCTGTATCTAATGGAAATCCAAGCCAATTTTTCCTGAGCTTTCCATTGACTGACCCTCTGCAACACAGAATTTGGTTTGTCATAAACTGGGAAATTGCCGGCACTTGCAATCACAAGAATTAAGGGATTTCCGAAGGCATTCCGGTTGCCTAGGCAATGCCTTGTTTGTTTCAAGTAGTTTGGTAGAGGCTTGAATTTGCAAAGCAGGCTGGGTGTTTTCAGTATTAGACACATTCCAGAGAGAGAGAGGGAGAGTTAGAGTCTGAAACTGAAAGAAAACAGTTGCAAAGGTTGAAATTGGAAGGCATGTGCCTGGAGAGATCTTTGTTGTGATACTGTGTAAGACAGGTGAGAGTGAGTCAGCAACCTGTTCTACAGCTTAGTCAGAGGGGCTCCTGCGGTGCAGTGGGTAGTGTCCCTATCTGTGAGCCAGGAGGCCAAGGTTCAGGTCCAACCTGCTGCAAAGATGTGCCATAACATTGAGGAGCTTTGTTTGGGGCATAAGCATTAACATGGGTCACCTGGACCCAATGGCCTGAATCTGTGTCGTATTTCTTAGTTTCCTACAGTGAGGAAAGAGGCCATTTGGCCCATCGAGTCCACCTGACCCTCCACAGAGTATCCCACCCCTACTCCCTACCTGTAACCCTGCATTTCCCACAGCCAATCCACCTAGCCTGCAGGGACTATGGGAGGAAACTGAAGCACCCTGAGGAAACCCAAGCAGACACGGGGGAGAACATGCAAACCCTACACAGTCATAGATCATAAACTCCCTACAGTGTGGAAGCAGGCCATTTGGTGTATCGACACTCTGAAGAGCATTTCATTCAGACTCACTCCCCTACCCTAACTCTGTAACCCTGTAACCCTGCGTTCCCCATGGTTAACCCAACTAGCCTGCACATCCCTGGACACTATAGGCAATTACCCATGGCCATTCCACCTAGCCTGCACATCTTCGGACTGTGGGAGGAAACCAGAGCACCCGGAGGAAACCCACACAGACACGGGGAGAATGTGCAAACTCCACACAGACAGTCACCCAAGGGTGGAATTGAACCCGGGTCCCTGGTGCTGTGAGGCAGCAGTGCTAACCACTGAGCCACCGTGCAGCCCATTAAAGTCTCTTGCCAACCCAAGCTGGGGGTCATCATTGGTGGAGAGTATCAATTTGCGTCCAGACAATTTTTTTTTCAATCTATCTGGCTTCTGAGAAGGAGAGAGATGATACATGTTGGGTGCCCCATCACTGAACCCTCTTAGCAACTCAGTAACACAGAGCCTGATTTAGGAAACCAGGAAACTTTAATGTACCTTGATTCAAGTGTTAAAGGTTTGGACGTGGAACTAACAACAAAGACAAATAGTTCACAGTGCAAAGAATTTAAATGGTGGGGAAGGCAATGGAAAACGGGGAACGTGGGCATATGTCAATGGGGCTTCTGTCACATGTATAAAATGTGGGCACTGATTTTGATTATAAAAATGATGCTTTTCTTGCCCAGAGGGAAAAACCAGTGAAACCAAATACTTGGGAATGAATATACTGGTGAATATACTGGTCATACTGGTGAATCTACTGGTCATACTGGTGAATATACTGGCCATACCGGTGCTCCATGTTGAGGTTATCGAAACCTGCTATGCCTCTTTCACCAGTTTTACTGGTTATTCCTTCAGAATGGGTTTATGGCATGGGTTAGATCTCTAACCCTACTCCATCCTCCATCCCCTAGCCTCCATTTAACTCAGTAGCATCAAGGAAAGTCTTCCTCTGGTCTTCTGCTGCTGCTACACCCTCGTTTCCTCCTCTTCACCCTGAGTTTCTTTCTCTGTTGTAGGGCACAGCTGATTCAAGACATCATGACCGGGAAGAACGGGTGTACGGAGACTGGTCGAGATGGTACGTTCACTTCCACTGTAACGCGTGCGGTAATCCTTTCTGTGGGTTGAGGCGGCCTGTAGAATCTCTCACAGGAGACACTGGAAAGAGAAGGTGTGGATGAGGAATGGCATGTCCCTCTCGTATGAGTCAGGAGTGACAGCTCCCTTAGAGATCTGTCACAAAGTCTTGCTCTGAACACCGAAACCAAGACTGACCCTCTAGTGCCATCTTTCTATTGAGGCATTCAGTGGAGGTCCCACTGAGCTGCCTGGTAGGATGTAAATTGGAAAGCTGTCCCTGGTGTCCTGGACAATATTTATCCCTCAATCAACACCATCTGATTGGATTACACCATCATTGCCATTTTGGGAGAGCTTGCTGTATGCTAATTGGCTACTGCATTTCCTACATTGCTAGAATAACTACACTTCAAAAGTACTTCTTTGGCTGTAAAGGCTTTGGGACATTGTGGAGGTGGTTGTGTGTTTGCAAGGTGCTGTCTGAGGATCTTTGGTGAATTTCTGCAGTGCATCTTGTAGATAGTACACACTGCTGCTACTAAGCGTCGGTGGTGGAGGGAGTGGATGTTTGTGGATGTGGTGCCAATCAAGTGGGCGCTGCTTTGTCCTGGATGGTGTTGAGCTTCTCGAGTGTTGTTGGGGCTGCACCCATCCAGGCAAATGGGGAATATTCCATCACAATCCTGACTTGTGCCTTGTAGATGGTGGACAGGCTTTGGGATACCAGGAGGTGAGTTACTCTGACTAGCTTCTGTGTTGTTTGATGGAGAGGACTATACTTGATTACTTCAGAGGTGGTGAAGAGAGAAAGCCCAGTTATCACTGAAGTAGCACAGAAAATTCATTTACAGTTAATTGCCCCTCCTGATATAGACGCTGGATAAAGACGCAGTTCAACAGGATTGGGAGAGATACTCCAGAACAACATAGTGATCAGAAGCTGGAAATGATTGGTGCCAGTTAATGGTGCTGCTAAGTACCAACACAAAAGCATGAGCAAGATCATGGCAACAGGAAATGAGAATTGTGGAGGGGCTTTGACCTTTGTGATAGATCCAGAGAGTTGGCCCAGTTCAAGGCCTTGAACCTACAAGAGTCTATCCTTGATTTTTCAATTCTTCCTGAATCTCGAGTATCTTAGCTTTTGCCCAGTCTCTGCCATTGACCTTGTAGGTGACCCACTCTGACAGGCTAAAGTACAACCATAGCAATCAGCTGAACAGCAGGTAATGACATGGAATCTGAGTCTTTCTCTGGTAATGTTCACTACTTCCATGACAACGTTTGGATAGAAATATATCTCTGTCACTGTAAATATGTGCAGCAATAATGATACGCCCCCTGATGAAGTGATCATTCCAGTAACTGTGCCCTCTCTTTCTCCGCAGTTCCTTTGGAAGTGAAGAACAGATGGGTGCAGAAAGGGACAGATGTCTTCTTACAGTGCGTCCTCAGTTCCAACATCGCCACCGCGAGGTGGAAAGTCAACGAGGAGGAAGTGCTGGGGAATGATGGGAAACATTATTGCCTAAAGGATGGCTCTCTGGTGATCAAGGGCGTGCAGGCCACTGACGAAGGGCAGTACAGCTGCTTTGCTGAGGAGAATGGAGTACGCTATGTGGTAGCCTTGCACAATGTCAGTGTTGGGGATAGCTTGCCGTCCTCCCCTCAGCGGCTGATCTCTAAGGGCCGCGAGTTCGTCTATCTCGTCATCATCGCCGCCCTGGCTGCTCTCATCTTGATCCTGGCCACTCTGTCCATCTACCTGTTCTGCTGGCCCTCCAAGAGGGGCGATTACAGCGTCCGGTTGCCCAGCTCATCACTGGTGGAGCTGCAGCACGTTTCGGGCTCGTGCGCTGGGAAGGCTGAGGAGGGGGACGCTGGTCGGCCCTACGGCGGAGAGCGACTCCTGAAGATCATCCCGGGTGAAGGGGCGATGTCGGCCTACCACAGGGCTCCGGGCAGTGGGGAGCTGCTCCCCCCACCTCCTCCGCCTCCTCCCCCGCTGCCCCTCCCCCACGACTCGCCCCCTCCGACTTCGGTCACCCCCAACGGCCTGCCGCACGTGCTGAGGAAAATGAACGGTAACTCGTACATCCTGCTGCGGCAGGCCAGCGAGGCAGAGCCCGGCCTGCCCCATTACCACTCCTTCACCGAGGAGCTCAGCAAGATGCTAGAGAAACGCAAGCACGCCCAGCTGGTGGAGAAACCAGACGAGAGCTCGGTGTGAGGCAGCGAGGGAAGTGGGGGGGGCCACGCCTCCCAGCCACGGTGCTGCAACATCTACCTCAAAAATTCACCGAAGATCCTCAGGCAGCACCTTCCAAACCCAACACCGCCTCCCATCCAGAAGGGCAGCAGATACATGGGAACACCAACCCCCTGCAAGTTCCCCTCCGAGCCACTCACCATCCTGACTTGGAAATATATCCCCGTTCCTTCACTGTCGCTGGGTCAAAATCCTGGAATTCCCTCCTTAAGGGCAATGGGGGTCTACCCTGCATGGACTGCAGCGGTTCAAGAAGGCAGCTCACCACCACCTTCTCAAGGGGCAACTAGGGACGGGGCAACAGATGGTGGGCCCAGCCAGCGATGCCCATGTCCAACGAATGAATAATGAGAAAATGTCAGTATTTAAGGGAAGTCCACCACAGGAGGCTGACTCAAGTCTTGTCCGAAGACCCCCTTTTTCTATTTCGCCAATCCAGAATCCAACTGTACGTAGAAAGCATTCACCACCTGTAAATAATGGCTTGGCTTTAATATATTCTTCACTCTGTTTTTGGATATCAATCAAAGGCGAGATTTTATAGAAAACCCACCGAGCTTAAAAATCGTGAAGCACAAAACGGGAGTCTCAAGCAAACCTTTGACCTTTTGTCGACTGTGCATTGTCACATCCTTGAGCAGACCAGGCTTGAGGGGCTGAATGGCCTCCTCTTGTTCCTGTGTAACCCAGCGGGAATCTCCTGATAAAAGACAGGCTGCTACAAATGGGCAGGGCAATCGCAGTGGTGAGTTTGTGTTGAACCTGACATTGTGCTGAACCTGCCAAATGGCGGAACAAGATGGTAAATATATTTTACACGCGTCGACATACAGACACTTTCATGGTGATAAATCATTACGCCCGTGGTGCAACGTGGAGTGTCTTTTGGAACTGAATTCCAGCCACAAAATAAAACAAAAAGAACTGCGGATGCTGGAAATCAGAAGCATAAACGGAAATTGCTGGAGAAACTCAGCAGGTCTGGTAGCATCTGTGGAGGGAACCGGACCCGAAACGTTAACTCTGCTTTCTCTCCATAGATGCTGGCAGACCTGCTGAGTTTTTCCAGCAATTTCTGTCCTTGTATCCAGCCGCACATCACTCAGCATGAGAATTGTTGGCTAAATTATAATGTGCGTACCTCGCACCAGCCATTTTACTGGCACTTGCAGAGATTATGCTGTATTGGAGAAGGAGTGAGGAGGAAAAATAATTCCTTAAAATCATCTTCCTCAAGAGAGGTACGATGCTGGCCACTCTCAGAAGAGGGTATGGTTTGAACTGATGGGTCATCCCTCTGTTTGCACAGTGTGAAGGAGCTTTATTTTCCCATTATCGAACAGCAGATCATGACAGGTTTAATGGGGCTTCATGTCTGGCAGGTACAGATACAGGCTGCGGTGGGGATGGGGCAAGAGCCAGGAGAATTGCGGGGGGTTGGGGGGGGGGGGGGGGGGGGGCGCAAGACCCGGGGGGTTTCGGAGATTGGGCAGTTGCAGATACTGAGGGGGAGGCATGGGTTCCTCTATGGACAGGTTTAGGGTGTGCAGGGGAAGGCAGTTGGTGTGGACTGTATGAATGAGGAGAATTCTTTCGATGTTCGTTCTTGGTGTCACTGGCAGTTTATTGTTCATCTCTGGCTGCCTGGAGGTATGTTAAAATCAAGCTGCCACCGTGTGGCCTGGAGTCACGTGGGGCTGATAGCAACCAGGCTCGGCTGCTGGCACCATCCCTTTCTTAAAGGCCATTAAGACATAATCGAATTCTTACAGCAATCCAATGTGGTAGATGCCTGGTTCTCGGCCATAACCTGCAGTCTACATACTGTTGAAACTTAATTATAGAACAGCCCCATCCAGATCCCACTGTCGGGCAATAGGGAGAAGAACACAAAAACCATAATTTTCTTTTGAAGTGGTAAGATACTAGATATTTGTGTTAAGGAAGATTTGGGTGTCTTTGTACATGAAACACAAATAAACGCAGCGCACAGCCACTACCAGTAGCTGTGTAGGTGCATAGTATGTTGGCTTTTGTGGGTGAGGGTTTGGAGTACAGTAGGAAAGTCTTATGCACTTCAGTAGGGTTTTAGAGAACCAATTCCTGGGTGACTGCTTGCAGTTTTTCTCCTGACTTAGGGAAAGTCAGTGCTTGACTTTGAGGACACGCAGTTAAGTTTGACTGTACTGTTTCCTGTTTTAAGAAGGTTCCTTGGTGATTATGTAGATTGGGCCTACACTCCCTGCAGTTTGAAGGAATGAGAAGAGACCTCATTGCAAAGCGTAGGATACAATAGGGCTTTCTTTTCGAGATTCCAGAACTGGAGGCCATTGTTCTGAGGACAGGGGACCCACCTTTTTCAATGGAGATAAGCAGTAAGTGAGAGGGCTGTGAATCTTTGGACTCCTGAACTGCCCCACCCCTAGGGGACCGGGCATAGATCACTTGAATGGGTTCAATAGCTGTTTTAAACTCAGAAGGAACCAAGGTTTATGGTAACTGGGTGAGAATAGGATAAAGATCAGAGGTCAGCTATCATCTTATTGAAGGGTGAAGTAAACCTGAAGGGCTGTTTGGTCTCTTTCTACTTTTCCATTCCACATGCGTCTCCTCCCGATAAATAATCCACCCAGATGCTTAAAGCTACACGTACGTTCCCAAAAACGTCTCCTTGCTCTGAGTGCGAGGTGATGCAGAGTCATAGCAATGACCCATGTGTTTTGCTGTGATTGGGTGAACTATCCTTTGGTCAATAGGAAGAAACTTGGCCGTGAGCTTTCTCCTAAAACAGGAGAGGACCTTATAGGGCCTGATACCCACTCTCTATCCAATGCCATTGTCCACTGGTCAACATGGAGAGAAACCAGCGGCATTACTGAGCCAATATCGCCTGCTTGAGTAGCCAGTTACATCCATGTAGGTGCCTTTTTGAGTGTATGTTCTACTTGGGGATTGGATAGCTTGGGTGGCTGGTTTACAAAGCAGAGCGATGCCAGCAGTGAGGGTTCAATTCCTGCAGTGACGATGGAAGTCCCACATTCTCAACCTGTCCCCTTACCTGAGGCAAGGTGACCAATTGTCTGTCTCGAATGAGGAAGTGGGACAATGGCGTCTTCACCTTTTCCTCCCCCTGCCCAGTTAACCAACCTTCCATGGGTCAGTTAAACCACTGTCCTATCGATGTGACAGACTGTTAAAATGGCCGGCCCATGGTAATAAGCACGTAGGCAGAGCTGGAGAGTTTCTCAGCAGTGGCTGGGACAGAATTGTAGTGGTTACAGTCTCCCATTCTACTTCCTCTCAGCAATTTAAAAGAGAAAACGATTTCCACATGTTGCGCTGTGCAGCTCTGAGATTAAGCAACCTCATGTTAATCTAATGCTCATGCACTCTGCTCATATGGTTCAACTCATGAAGGCTCAGAGCCAGGCCCAGACAAATAATCCTCCGTGCACCACAGAATGTGCATTCTCCTGGTCACACACAAACCTTCCGCACGAGATTATATGATTTGCTTCAATGTGATGGAGTCATAGAGTCACACAGCACGGAAACAGACCATTCGGCCCAACTCGTCCATGCTGACCAGGTTTCCTAAACTGAACTGTCCCCATTTGCCTGCATTTGGCCCATATCCCTTTAAATCTTTCTATCCATGTACCAATCCATGTACCATGTACCATGTGCCATGTACAATTGGGGGTGGCACGGTGGCTCAGTGATTAGCACTGCTGCCTCGCAGCACCTGGAACCCAGGTTCAATTCCAGCCTCAGGCAACTGTCTGTGTGGAGTTTGCACATTCTCCCTGTGTCTGCGTGGGTTTCCTCCAGGTGCTCCAGTTTCCTCCCACAGTCCAAAGATGTGCAGACCAGGTGGATTGGCCATGCTAAATTGCCTGTAGTGTTCAGGGAGGTGTAGATTAGGTGGGTTATAGGGGGATGGGTCTGGGTGAGATCCTCTGAGGTTCAGTGTGGACTTGTTGGGCTAAAGGGCCTGTTTCCACACTGTAGGGATTCTGTGATTCAATCCAAATGTTTTAATCATACCCACCTCTACCACTTCCTCTGGCAGCTCATTCCATATATGCACCAACCCTCTGTGTGAAAAAGTTCCCCTTTAGATCCCTTTTAATTTTTTTCCCTCTCATCTTAAACCTATGCCCCTCAATTTTGGACTTCCCTACACTGGGGAAAAGCCATTCACTTTAACAGCGACCCTCATGATTTTATAAGCCTCTTTTATAAGCCTCTGCAACTGTCAGCCCAGTTGCTCCAAGCCCCAAACCTATCCGACCTCTCCTTATAAATCAAACCTTTTGATGCCCATGACTATTAGGAACCAGCTTGAGGAGACCCAACTCCATCTGACTGAAGCCCTTCATATCCTTCAGAAAGAGGCTGTCACCCAACCTGGCAAGATTGTAAACCGAATGTCAGAGCTGAAAAGTCGAGCTGTGTACCTTTTCTGAACTGCCCTGATTTTCAGTTTTTGTTGGCAAACAAGCTCTTTCAACCAAAGTTAATTATTTTGCTTCGTTACTCCTCTTTGAACTAGCTGGTCTGGTCACTGCAATGTAGAATGTGTGATTACCCGCATGTTGGTACCCTGGTCTCAGTCAGTGCGGTCTAAGACATTACGTTGTGTTAACCCACAAATAAAAAGGAGTAATCAAACAAGTAACTTAGACAACCCGCTGTTAGCAACCTGCTGCAGCTTTAGCAAGAAGTGATGCAGTGAGACATAAATATTGGAGCAAAATAGTTTGTTAAAGAAATTAATTTTGTAAGAAAATGAAACTCAAAAACAAATTTAATGTCAAAAAATCTCTGAGATGTGGAATGTTGAGAGAAACTGGTGAGTTCATTAATCCATATTGGAGGCTGTAAGGAATAATTCTATGTTTAAATGTATTAGTACATACTCCATGTAAGTGGCTTAATTTATTCATCGAAGTCTTTTGTTTCTTAATTTGATTTTACATTAAATTAAGATGTTTCCATCCTTCACTGTGTTTGTGAGTTCATTTCTTCAAGAAAATGCCACGGTGTCTTTGTGATTCTTCAACTAATGGGCTACAACAGAAA